GCACACAACGCAAATGGTCAGATTTAAATCTAGCCGATCGATGTCCCTGCAGGGTTGTGGAAACTCTTGCTCTGAGGACAGTGTTTCTGATGTTCCTCTGCAATATTCCAACTGAGAAATCCTGGTGAGTTTATCTGTTCCGCTCTTTGATGGAGGCACTTGGACACTTTGATGGTGTGGTCGTTTGCTCTCAAGTGGAGAAGGCATCATGGGGGAAGGTGAGGGTTTGCTTTTTATGTCTTTTTGGCTTTACTTGACTACGTCAGAAAACCACACCGTTATTCCAATTGCCCTGAAAGATGTTTGTTTTCAATCAGTGTTTCTAGAATTGTTCTGTTGTTGAGGACGTAAAACAATAGTGCTTTAGTGCAGGTCATGGGTAGTACATTTCCAGGATGTCGGGGTTAGTTTTGAACAATGAAGGTCACTGATCTGACTTGACTGTAATTTCACAAGCAACACTAGATTGAGCGATAGTCATCTGGGATTCTTCTGAAAGAGCTGATCCTCGTTTAGGGCTTTTCTTAATTAAAAATAATAATTTTCTCTTCGTTTAAATTCTGAAGATAAAAGCAAGTTAGGTATTGAATAAAAATAAATTAGTCACAATTACATTAAGAACAGAATTTATTAACACTATCAGGCCACAGTTCAAAGAATTAAGAACATTGACCGCTTAAAATATAAATTAAAATTTTCTGGAATTACAACTTTGGCTTTTTTTTCTGATTAACTCCAGGAATTAGTTGACCTAAAAGAACTCTCCTGCGCTGGCGTTGCTTGAGTTGTCGCGCAACACTTCTTCCCGGAGTGTTGCGTGACGATACAAATAACGCCTATGAAGGAGGCTTCTTTTTGGGAAATTTTAATCTTAGCTACTATACATATAGTTACATTTTCCGTGATCAAAGTTCAAAGCTTAGGCCAATTGTTAATTTTGACTTCCAAAACGTTTAACTAACCTTTTGTAACCAAACATATCCATAGTTCGATCTAAATTTTGTGATCCTATTGTTTATCTTGCCTTCTTTAACTTACTTAATCTTGAAGTTGGTATTTAAATTTTTTCACTTAACTTTGGCCAAGTGCTCATATTGATTTCCAAAACTTGAGATTTACCGCGGAAACTTTATTTTTTGACTAAGTACATAACTGTAAGCTACTTATCAATATTGCATTCCAAAACTGTAAATTCAACCTCTAAAACCAAGCATATATTTCGGGGTTTTTTTTTTTCTTTTTTTGTTTTGATTTCGTAGGCCAATTGTTCATCTTTACGTCTTAAACAAACTAAACCTAGGAAACGTTTCTCATCGTTTTTTTTTTTCTAATACTCGCTCAATTTCGTTATCCTCGGGGATGCAGCGGCAGTTAATCGTGACGAGACGAAGTAAACCGAGCGGTGAAACCTTTCGTCGGGTCGATTTTGCCGCTCGGTTTACGTCGACTCTTCCGACTAACTGCCCATTTTCCGAGGATCCTTCGTTGTTTAATGTTATTCAAAGCCAAAATTAACAATAACAAAAGCACGAATAAATTTCAACATTCCACCGTGTTTGCCTTATTTTAAGACGATTTTAACTGTGAATATTTAATAAGATTTACTATGAATACTTAAACTACGATTCTTTCAAAAAGTATTTGGATATTTTTGTACAAATTAGACTCGATCGATTTTAAATGACTGAAATTAAATATCCAAACAAAGTTAACGCAATTCTAGGTGATGTGAACGAACGAAATTCGCTCGTTTGCTTTCGCATTAGTATTTATTTACTTTAACAAAATACGCTTAAATCTGAAAACAAATTACTAATCTTTCATCGCTTTAACTTTGATCTTATTTAAACATAAGCGAAAATTCCTAAACTTGTATCAGTTTGGACGTAGAGTTTCAGGTGACTTGTGTTCTTTTGGTGAAGTTTGTGGGAGGACAGTCGGCAGGAGGTTTGGTCGGCAAGTCAGATCAATGATTTTTTGCGTTGGATTCTTTTCTTGGCATCCATGGAAATTACTAAATATGACTTGTACTTTAGCGCTCCTGTTTTCCTTGTCCCTCCAACGGAAATTTCTAGATACAGTGCTTGGAACACGCATCTTAAATTCTCCTATTTTGGCATTAATTTTTTCGTGCATTACTTACGGCTCTCAAAGCTAATAAAACTTCCAATTCAAATGGTGTGGTATTATGACGTAGTTGAGTGAAACCGAGGAGGCATGGGAAGCAAACTCTCACTCCTTCATTATGCCATCTCCACTTGAGAGCAAACTGCCATATCATTAAAGTGGTCAAGTGTCGTCATCAAAGATGGCGGGGCAGATAAACAAACCAGGGTTTTAAAGTTGGAATATTAATGAGGAACAGAAGAAACACTTCCACTCAGAGCAGAGTGAAAACAACCCACAAGCAGGGACAAGATCGGTTAGATTTTTTTTATTTTTTTTTTTTTTAACACAATAAAAGCGCAAATAAAGAGACAAAGAGACAGTTTTGTGTGTTGTCGTTTTTCCCGGCAGTCCAGCATAACTGACCGGGTAAACCACAGGCCTCTTAAACTCACGATCCGAGGAATCGATCAAATATTAATGATTTATGTACGCGTATCGAGTGAGACGTGACTGCCTTAAGTGCGCGCTGTTGTGTTACACATTGGGCCGTTGAGAAGTTGAGCGCTCTACAAGGCATTGTATGGAATTTAAAATAACGAAGGATAAAATCGCGCGATGAAATAAAATGTTACTTGTTTTTGAATAAAATTAAGAAAATATACTCATCTTGCCTGGTTTCCGTTGTCCATTTGGCCTATTTCGTTGTTTTTGGGGGGTTTTCAGGTATTGGTTGCGGCAAACACCTGAAAAACCCCCGAAAACGACGAAATAGGCCAAATGGACAAAAAAAAACGGGCAAGGTGAGTATACTTTCTTGATTTTATTCAGAAAGTAACATTTTATTTCATCGCGCGATTTAATCCTTCGTTATTTTAAATTCCATGCAATGCCTTGTAGAGCGCTCAAATTCTCAACGGCCCAATGTGTAACACAACACCGCGCACTTAAGGCAGTCACGTCTCACTCGATACGCGTACATAAATCATTGATATTTAATCTATTCCTCGAATCGTGAGTTTGGGACGCCTGTGGGTAAACACCTGTGTCCATGACTAAGTCCTGATATAAAGTGTAATCTGTCACGCAACTTGTCCCGCAATCTTCTCGAAAACGGGGTGACAAGGTAATGAAACATCGAGCCGTGTAACACAACGCGCAACGGACAAAACGTTTGCGAAAAAAGTCGCTTCAACAGTTACACAAAGTAGAACTAAGTTCCAACTTTCTCCAACCGCTGTAGCAACTGTCTCGCATAAATTCTGTCTGTTACACGGTATGATAAACGACCCAATGTTTCATACAACGCACTTGTCACGCTGCCATCGAAAACATTAAGAGATTAGTTGCGTAAGAGATTACACTGAATAAGAGGACCACAAACCAAGTTCTGCTTTTAAGAAACCACTACCTAAAAATAATGTCTGCCATGAAACTCTCATTGTACTCCTATCGCGTTTTCGCTGTAGTATTTGCGAGTTGCAAACTGTACTTAGTTGCTCAAGAAGTCGACTTTAAAAAAAGTTGGCCCCTCCCTATTCACACTTTGCGTAACTGTCAACAAACGTCTACGTAAGCGTAACGCAAGTCTTTGCATGTCACGCTATAATTCCGTAACAGACATCTAGACAATTCACAGGCGTGAAAATGTGTAACATCAAAAACTCGAATTAGGCTGTCCTAATTTAATAGAAGCACGAGCGATTGAAAATCCCTTCGAATTTGCGATATATGAACCTGTAACT